ATGACTCTGCACTGCAGGGAAGCCACATCCGCCGCACAGGTCTCCGTGCCAGGCCCAGCGGGGAGCCAACGGCATCTTCCAGTGGGGATAATTAAGGGGAATTTAGTGCAAACGTGTGGACAGAGGCAGGGATGGTGCAGCAGGCAGCCCCTGGGACCGGTGTGTCTGGGGAGCTGGCGTTCTCCTTAGGGCTGGAGCAAGGGAGAGAAGTGAAATGCAAGACAGGCGCTCTGAGGGGAGTGAGAGCTCCCTCGGCACCGGGAGGCAGGCACCCTGCAGACGGCAAACACCCCTGATCCGCCCTGTCCACCAAGCCTCTGATTGCCAGCCAATCAGAGGGCAGGGAGCCTGTGACGCAATCCTCAGAGCAGGAGGTGGCGTGGGGGTGGGGTCAGGGTGGGCAAAGCCAAAGCAGGCAGCAGAGCTCGGGCCTGGGGCACGAGCCACCTTGGTGCCTGCCTTCGGCTGCCATTTTTTCGGACACGGGCACTGTGCCATCTTGGGTGTGACGCCAGAGAATGCAGTGGACACGTTGTCCCCAGGCTCAGCGTGAAGCCTGCCTTTAGACAAGAGTCGGACAGCCTGCAGGAGACCGGAGATGCGGAAGTGGGTGCCCAGGCCACTCGGTCGACGCCCACTCCCCGTGGCCACGTCTCGGGAGCCCAGGCCAAGGCGCGAGGCAGTTTCTGTGGGGAAGGATGGTTTTTAATGCCACGTTGCAAAGCAGCATTCCAGGAGCACACACCACAGCCTGCCATTCTCCAGGCCCTGGAAGGTTCTGGAAGACAAGCAAGCTTCGTGTTACTTAGCGAGTTATTTGTTGTCTCGGAGGTTGATTTGGGTCCAAAATTGTTCAGAGGCTGGGTTCTGTTTACACAATAAACCACTGCCCTGCCACCAACCAGATGGCAAGAGACGCAGCGAGGCCCCCGAGTTCCTTTGCTTTTCCATTTTCTTAGGGCGAGCAGGGCCCAAAAGGTGAAACCTAGGTTGCACCGGCCAGCTCTGGATCTGTAAGCACCTGGACCAGGACCCAGACTGTTCCGTCTAAAATGTGTCAACCCAAAGGGGACTGGGTAGCCGTTTGGCTCCATGGTTAAGAGGCTGCTTGGGCCACCCACATCCCCCGGTCAGAGGACCTTGGTTCAAGTCCTGGCTCCACTCCTGATTCCAGCTTCCTGCCCACACACGCCCTGGGAGGCAGCAGGTGACGCTCAGACAGCTGGGTTCGGCCACACACAGGGGAGACACAGACGGCGTTCCTGGCTCCTGGCTTCGACTTGACCCAGCCCTGGCCCTCACAGGCTTCTGGACAGTGGACCAGTGGATGGCAGATACCCTTCTCTCTCTCTCCCTCTCTCTCTCTTTCTCTCTCTTCTTTCAAATAAATAAAAATTTTAAAGGGGAGGGGAGCTTGTTTCCAGAGTGTTTACATCATGAAAGTCGTCTGTAAACAGAGACCATGGGACAGAAGAGAAGCGGGGAGCCAGGGCCACCCAGTATTGCCACACTGTGCCAACTGCAAGACCACCAAGTGACAGGCCGCAGCGGGTGTGGCCCCCTGGACCCGTGCTGCGTGGTAGCCCTGGCGCGACGCACTTGGTCATAAGCTTGCTGCGTGTCATCTGTACTCACAGGGCTGCGAATCCCCGGCCGGCAGCTGAGCGTGGCTTTCACACACCCTCTGCTCTCCTGGAAGGAGGTGGGGGGAGGTAGTAACTTCATTAATATTTCTAAATTGCTATTTCTTTGAGATGCAGAGAGAGAGTTCCCATCCCACTGGTTTGCTCCCCCAAAGCCCACCGTGGCTGGGGTGGTGCCAGGATGAAACCAGAGACTCAGATCTCCGTCTGGGTCTCCCAGGTGGAGGGCAGAGACCCAACTACTTGTGCCATCACTGCTGCCACCCAGGGTCTGCACTGGCAGGAAGCTGGAATGAAGCAGAGCCAGGACTCGAACCCAGGCCCTCTGATATAGGATGCAGGCATCCCAACAGCTATGCAGCGCCTGAGCCAGCAGCTTCAGAGTCAGAACTCATCCAGGTCCTGGCTCCAGGCAACTGATGGGACGTCAGCTTCCTCATCTGTGACACGCAGTGAATAAAGGGATCGGAGACATCCCGCAAGAGCCCCAAGGACAAAACAAGCATGCAGACAATAACAATGACAACAGTAACAACAATAACAGTAACTTGAACTGAGCCCTAGGATGCGCTGGGTGCTGTGTGTTGAGCTAGGGGCTAGACTTGACCCATGGAATCATCTTAGCCCCCTCCCAGTAGCAACCCCATTTCACAGACAGGAAAGGAGCAGAGATGAAGAGACTTGTCCAGGTCACGCCCCCCCAAGGACGCGGAGCTGGGATTCAAACCCAGACGCTCTGGCTTTCCAAGCCCAACCCCTAACAGGTGCATTCATTTTGGTAATTTTTGAAAAAACAGATGTACATTTTACAGCTTGAATAGTCCACCCAGAAAACCCCATCTGTGAAGATTTGCAAGACAGAGAGATTTCAAAGCACGGCCCAGTGAGCAGGCTGATTTGCACTCTGAAAGTGCCCGCTGGGAGGCGGCCCCTGCCCCCTGGCCCTCCTTCCTCCCCCTGCCAAGGTAGTACCTTCTGCCCTCTCACTGGAGCCTCTCGGTGCCCAGCGGGAAGCAGAGGTGAGGTGGCCGCTGTCCCCAGGCTTCCTCCATCCCTAACCCCAGCCATCTGTCCTGAGACTTCTCTTCACTAACAGGAACAGGGGCTCCCTGCACCGAGCTGGGCCCTGGGCTGCAGGCAAGGGGCATGCGGACGAGGCACCGCGTGCCAGCAACCCCAGAGGGAGTGCAGAGGATGCCGGGAAGGCGGCCACGTGGGCACAGAGGGGGCTCTGCACACATTGCCTGGGCGACCAAGAAGGCTCCTAGGGGAGGTGACTTTTGGGTGTTGGGACTGGGGCAGAGTGGGACAGGAGGTCTTTGGAGTAGCGAGGGACGTAGGAGCCGCAGCGTGCAGGTGCAGAAGATGCCAAGGGCCGGCGGAATGAGGCGACCCACAGGTGGGGGTGAGGGCTCTGGCCCACCGGCCTCTGCGACCTCGGGCAAGTCGCTTGACCTCTCTGTGCTTCATTCCCCTGTATGCCCAATGGGGACAGGATCAGGGAGTTAACCGATTTAAGTGCATGCAGGAAGCGCCTAATGAATGCAGGCTGCAACTGTGGTTACAGCTTGTGGGGCAGAGGGCAGGGGGCCCTCTCAACAGGCCCAGTAGGAGGTCCTCCGTGGAGGTGCTCAGGCTCCGGGGAGCGCAGGGACAGGGACACAGCCGCGGCCAGCGGAGTGCCGGCGCAGGCAGGCTGCGCTGGCTCCGGGCTGAGGTCGGGGCCGGTGGAGAGGGACCGGAGCAGCAGTGAGCAGGCGGTGCTGGGGAGCTGCTGCGGACGGCCGGCGCTCCCGGGAGCCCGCGTGGCCGAGAGGGAGCCCAGTCCTCCCGCAGCGAGGCCGGCTCGAGCGCCACAGCGCTCCCGAGCGAGCGCGCGCCCGGCTGCACGGCGGCGGGGGAGGGGCTGCAGTACCTCCGGGGCAGGTGTGCAGGGCGCGAGCTCTCCGGGCAGGCGCCTGTGGTCTGCGGTCGGTCGGAATGAGGGGCCGGGCGTGGGCCGGCAGGTCCGGGTGTGCCCGGCCGGCCGGGGCTGGTGGGGACGCGGCTCCGCGAGAGGACGGGACCGCCGGCTGCGTCTCCAGCAGGAGGCGGCGCGGGCCCCTGGCGGGCCCCGACCGACCGTGCCGCGCAGGTAGGGGTCCCCGAGAAGCCCCTTCGCCAGGCCCGTGAAACCGCGAGCAGGGCCTGGCGGGGGTCCGGAGCTCTGCACCCGCGTGACGCGCGGGGCGGGCCGGGGCCGGGCCGGGCGGGGTGTGTGCCCGCTGCCATGCCTCCCTTGGGTGGGGCGTCCGCGGCCGCTGGGTGGCCACCTGGTAATTAGGACCCTCCAACAAGGTGGGACCCTTAACCCTTCGCCGCCCGGGGAGGGGAGAGTGGCCTCGCGGTGGTCGCTGCAGGGCACGCCGCCCGCCCACTGTGGCCACCAGATGGCCCACGTGAGAGGGCTGGCGCGCGGGGGCTTGGGGGCTCCAGGCGTGCTGGGCAGGGGCCGCGCCACGCCGGCTCTGAGAGCCGCTGAGGGAGGAAGGCGGTGTGGGAGAGGGTGCTGCAAATGGTGTTGGGTTCCTTCATTCCCCTGTCCCCGGGTCAGCAGCGGCAGCAGAGGGTAGCGCAGGGGCCACAGAACGGCTGGCCTGGAGGATTTTCAGCTCCCGAACCAGGGGTCTCTCACCTCTGGCAAATCTGTTTTCAAGCCTCAATGTCTCCCTCTGCGAAATGGGCACAACAGCAGCGCTGACTTCCACCGAGGGCCGTGATACCACGCAAGGGGGCTGCTCACGCCAGAGCCTTGCACGGCCTTAAGTGTCAGCTCTGAGGGCTCAGCGACTCCCACGCCCTGGAGAGAGGAAAGCTGCCTAGCAGAAAAGGGAGGGAGGAAACAGGTTCAGGGTGACAGTGCAGGGGTGAGGGTGGGGGCGGCTGCCTGAGGGTTCTGGAAGGGGCGAGCAGGGAGGATGAAGACGGTGGCGGAGGAGTCAGAACGGGCATTAGCATCAGAACCCCTGTTTTAGTTTTTTTTTTTTTAAATATGTATTTATTTATTCAAAAGTCAGAGTCACAGAGAGAGAGAGAGAGAGATATCTTCAGTCCATTGGTCCATTCCCCAGATAGCTGCAACAGCCAGCGCTGAGCCAGGTGGAAGCCAGGAGCCTCATCCGGATCTCCCATGTGGGTGCAGGGGCCCAAGCACTTGGGCCATCTTCTGTTGCTTTTCCCAGGTCATTAGCAGGGAGCTGGATCAGAAGTGGAGAAGCCGGGACTCGAACCGGCGCTCATATGGGATGCTGATCCAGCTCTCTGCTATGGCCTGGGAAAGCAGTAGAAGATGGCTCAAGTCCTTTGGCCCCTGCACCCACATGGGAGACCGGGAAGAAGCTCCTGGCTTAGGATTGGCACAGTTCCGATCGTTGCAGCCAATTGGGGAGTGAACCATCAGATGGAAGACATCTCTCTCTCTCTCTCTCTCCCCCTCTCCTCTCTCTGTATAACTCTGACTTTCAAATAAATAAATAAATCTTTAAAAAAAAGACATAATAGGCCCTAAAGTGATGTGGGGGGAACAATACTTAATGTGCCACTTATCTATTGCTACACTGCAAACCACAGAAGACACTCAATATTACTAGCTTCAGGTGACACTTCTTTTATCACAAATCTGGTTTGGGCAGGGCGTGGCGGGGGTGACTTACCTCTGCTCTTGGTGACGTCAGCTGCCCTCTTCCACGATCACCCACTTGCAGGGCAGGCGGATTGATCCCTGCTGTCAGCAGGTGGCCAGGGCCTTGGTTTCTTGCAACCTGGGCCTCTCCATGAGGCTGCTTGGCTTCCTCCCAGCATGGCAGTTGGGTTTCAGAAGACAGGAAGTAGGAGCTGCCAGTCTTGTTCAGCCCCGGACTCAGAAATTGACAGTTGCCTCTCCTATCTTCTGTTGGTCATGGAGTGACAGAGCCCACCTAGGTCCAAGGGGCAGGGACTTAGATGCCCCCTGTGGGTGACCAGCGCGTCCATCCATTTGCCAGTGTCATGGACCTCCCAGACTGGAAAGGCCTCTCCCTTGCTTTTCCATTCTCGCCCCTCTGGTGCCATAGTGCTGAGTTGATTCGCCTTTTGCAAGGGATGAAGGGTTTCTCGCGGGAGAGGATCAGCCGGGACACGGACGTCCACAGCGAGGGCTCCAGTCAAATCAGGGCCTCTGAGCCCCGTGCAGGGCGTTCTGCTCGGTGCCTTCTCTCTGTGTCCCGGGGCCCTGTGAGGCTGCAGTCCCCAGCTCCGCCAGCCCTGCCTTTCAAACAGGAGGGAGAAGCCCGGGAGAGAGTGATTCAGAGGCAGGAGGGTAGACTTCCGCAGGTAGCCGGGCTCGAGGGTAAGGAGCGTGCTGGCGGCTCCCCAGCCCCCGGGAAAGTCTGTCTGTTTTTCATGAGGGCTGCTGTCTGGGGCTTTGCAGTGTCTGTTGCCAGATATTATTAGGTTATTAATTGATGGATGGGAGCACTCGGGGTGGGGAGGCAGGAGGCCCGTGGGGGCTGCAGGCCTGGGTTGCCATGACAACCTGAAGGCCTGTGGTCTGGGCTGCGGAGCCCCGAGCAGGAAGGAGCAACACCGAGCTGCTCAGACCGCAAGCGCTCGGGCTGGCAGCCTCCGCGCCAGCACCAGGCTTCCGTGGCAGTGCGTTCTCACACGGCACCAGCAGCTGTGCCCTTGCTGTGAAACCACCGCTCACCCTGCTGCCTCCTCCTGCACCCGTCAGCACCAAGTCCATTAGCTCCGAACTTCGACTTCGGGCACACTGGCCTTTCAGGCAGCCTGCAGGGAACAAAGCACCTCAGGGTCAGTGATCGCCATGGGTCGGGCGTGCAGAGGACAAAGCAGACGGTGCACCTCCTTCATATGCAGCTGGCTAAGGGGAAGATAAACACCCACGCGCAGACATACACATTCCCACGCGTCACACTTGCTCCTTGTTAAAACCCAGGGGTGCGGCCGGCATGGTGGCCCAGTGGGTGAAGCCACTTATTGAGATGGACGCCCACATGCCGTGTCAGAGCACAGGTTCAAGTTCCGGCTGCTCTGCTTCTCACCCAGCTCCCTGTTAATGCACCTGGGAAGGCAGCAGAGAAAAGCCCAAGTGCTTAGGCCCCTGCCACCCACATGGGAGACCCCAGTGGAGTTCCTGGCTCCTGGTTTTGGCCTGGCTCAGCCCAGCCCAGGCTGCTGCTGGGGAGTGAATCCATGGATAGAAGATCTCTTTCTCTCTCTCTCCCCTCCCTCCCTCCCTCTTAACACTCTGCATTTCAAATAAATAAATCTGGGGGGGGGGAGTACAGCATGTCGGGAACAACTAAGTGCCGGGTGTCTGTGGGCTTCATCCCTTTAATTCTCACAGAAGTCCGCTGGGTGTGTGATTCCCAAGGTCGCAGCACTGAGCAAACCTCACCCTCAGGCCCGGAGCCTCCAAGCTTAACCTCAGCCCCTCGTTCTGTCCTGGCCGAGGCGGCTCTGCCTGGGCTCGGGCGTCCCCGCCGTCCACCCAGTCCCCACTGCGGTCAGTGCCACTTCTGGCTCAAGGGCAGAAGCCCGAGAGGGAGGGGCGGGGCCTGCAGTTCCGTGCCAGGCTCACCACTGTCCCTCGGTGGGAGGTCTCCTTTGGAGGCTCCGGGAGGGCTGGCAGCGATGAGGCCGCTAGGACCCTGAGGCCACTGCTCCGTGTCACTGCCATGTCTGGTCCTCCCTTCCTGTGTTAGGTTGAAAATGAAATCCTAGAACCGCTGCTGCCTGGGCCCGGGGCTTTGTCTCCTTCCCGGTGGGATTTCCCAGGGCCATGGGTTCTGAAAGCTTCCCCCTCCATCTGTGTCCCACCAGCCAGGGCGGGGGGCAGGCGAGGTTGCTGCCCTGGCAGCAGGTGGCTCCCACTCCAGGTGAGGGATGGTGCCCACTGCCGCCTGGGGGCTGGGCAGATGGGTGTTGGGCGGGGAGGGGACAGGGGCCTGCCAGTGGTTCCTGCAGGTATAGATGGCCTGCGTGTGTGTGTGTGTGTGTCCTGTCAGGCTGGGCCACGCCAGGAGGGGACCTTTTTGTGGGTGTGCCTGGGGACAGCCAGGCAGGATCCCAGACTCCTTGCCCCCAGTCCCTCCCTGGGACTTCCTGGAAAGCTACTCCTACATCTGGAGCTTGGAAACAGCCGCAGGGCAGCGAGCTGCAGCCTTCCTCTTGTAGCCTACGGTCTGCAAGGAGCGGCTCGGGGCAGACTGGAAAGGACCACTGGGGGCAGCATTTGCATTCAGCACCCAGGCCCCATGGAAGGGGGCTTCTCCGGGGGCTCCTGCAATGCCGTCCCCCAACCGGACAATGGCGATTCCCTCCCTGGAGGGCACAGGTCCCCCGGATCACTTAATGGAGCAGGAAGTCCCGGCCCCAGTGGCCCCCAGGCAAAGCGTGGACTGGCTTCCTGGCTCTGGCCACATGTCTAACCTGTAATCAGCCTCCAAGGTGATGACGGTGAGGATGGTAGTTAAGCCGAAAGAGCTGTGCCTGAAGCCCGCAGTAGGTTCCCATCACGGCTCTCTCATCACTTAGCCGCCAGGCCCTGGTCAAGAGCCCTGGCCCCCTGAGGCCCGAGTCTCCATCTGTAGAGTGCGTGCTGGGTGAGGCGTCCTCACCTGCTCCCGTGTGTGGGGCGTGCACACAGGAGGGAGTTTAGTTAAGTGCTCCTGTGCCAGTCCCCGCGCTGGGCCCCCACACTTAGAACCTTGATGCTTCTCTTATTTCTGCCCAGAGCCTGGGCGCGGTCACCCTCGCTGTGCTGACCTGCAGTGCGGGAGCCCCTGCCTTCACGTCGGCGGGTTCCCACGAGGGCTGCCCTTTAGAATCCTGCAGGGAGCTTGGGAGAGCCTTGGTGCTGGCCCCTCACCTGCAGCCGGGGGTGGGGCCCTGGGAGTGAGGCTTTGGTGGCTCCGGAGGTGTTGTCCAACACACTGACCAGGTCCTACCTGCTGACCTGGACAGGGGTTGCCAGGGGTTGGGGGGTAACAGCCTGGGAGTGGGAGGGGAGACAGCGAGCTGCCCCGAGCTCCCCTGCTGTCCTGCTGTTCCGTGGCCACACTGCGGTAGCGACCAGGGCACCTCCCACTTCTCGGGCCCTAGATCTGGGACGCTCCCGTGATGGGCCCTCGGGCAAGGCTCAGCATCCAGTCACTCCTGGTAGCCCCTAGGTGCTCACAGGTAGCTTGGTGGATAGAATTAGTGCCCCCAGCCCCAGCCCCCAGGGCGCCCGCCCCGGGTTCTGCCTGTAATACTGCCAGCAAGGGTGCTCACGGGCCCTGGGGGCGGGTGTGGACGGCGAGGATGCAGCCGTTCCGCCGCCCTCGCCCTCTCGCTGGCGAGTGGTTCCTCGGCAACCGCCCAGCCCGACACCAGATTGGAGTTCACATGATTCTGCCTCAGCGCAGGAGCGGGCAGCCTCCAGCTGGGGATTTTCTAGACGGAGCTGGGAGCTTCGGTGTGCCGGGAAGTCACCGGAAGGGGCGCCGCCGGCTGGGGTCCCGGCCGCGGGGTGGCCCTGGCTCTGCGGAGCTGAGGCTTGGCGGGCAGAGCCCTGCTGGGGTGGGCAGCGGCAGAGAGACGCGTCCCAGGGTCCCCGCCCGCTCCGGGGCGGAGGGCGGCTTTCTCTGTCCTGGCCCCAGGCGCTGCTGCTCCTCACCTGGCTGCAGACGGCGCTGCTGCCGCCGCGTTCCTGAGCCAGCAAAGGCGGGGGACTCTGGCTGCTGCCAAACTGATTTGTTGGCGAGTGAGGAAATCTATTTAGTATCTTGTGGCTGGCGTTTTAAAGAGCAAGACGGAGTAGAAAATATCAGCCTGCCTGGCGAGAAGTGGGGTGAGTCCTGCTTTGGGGAAGTTTGTTTCTCTGTACATATGCGTGCATGTGTGCGTGTGTGCGTGTGTGTGTGTGCATGTGCGTGCGTGTGTGTATGTTGGCCAAGATGTAAAGTGTATTTCAGGCTATGGCTTGTGGTCAAAAAATCATAAAGGCAGCAAGCTGGTGCCCGGACTCCTGGGTTCTGGATTCAGATCCACCCCCACTCACTGTGTAAGCTGCAGCAACTGGTGTGGCCTCCCAGCTCCAGGGCAGCCCCACCTCATCAGCCCAGGTGACACTGAACTTGGAAACCGTTCCAAGGACTTTAGGAAAGAGAGTCTATTGTCTTTGTCTGTCGCAGTAGGGAGGCAACTTGGGGGGAGGCTGGAGACCAGGGAAGGAGGCAGCCGGATTCCCCAGCGTCCTCAGAGGGGGACCTCGACAGCTGCTGAACCCAGCGAGTCTAGAACACGAATCAGCCTTTTTTTTTTTTTTTTTTTTGACAGGCAGAGTGGACAGTGAGAGTGAGAGACAGAGAGAAAGGTCTTCCTTTTGCCGTTGGTTCACCCTCCAATGGCTGCCACGGCTGGCGCGCTGTGGCCGGCACACCGTGCTGATCCGAAGCCAGGAGCCAGGTGCTTCTCCTGGTCTCCCATGGGGTGCAGGGCCCAAGCACTTGGGCCATCCTCCGCTGCACTCCCTGGCCCCAGCAGAGAGCTAGACTGGAAGAGGGGCAACCGGGACAGAATCCGGCGCCCCGACCGGGACTAGAACCCGGGGTGCCGGCGCCGCAAGGCAGAGGATTAGTCTAGTGAGCCGCGGTGCCGGCTACGAATCAGCCTTTTTCAAAAACGTGTGGAGGCTTGGCCAGCGAAGGGAAGGGGAGCTGCGTCCACGGCCTCTGCGGGCTCCGTGCTCCTCTGAGCAGCCCTCGGCACCACTTGGGTTGCTGCTCTGTGCCAGCCCAAGTCCAGCCTCCAGGCACCCCCACCCTCCGACTTGGAAGGGGTGGGAGACTCCTCGCTGGCGTCAGAGCCCTTCCTTCCTGGCGGGGCTTCATCTCTCTTGGTCACAAAAGTCCTCCGGGACATCCTCGCCTATCAGCATCTGCAGGTCTGCTCCTAGGCGTTGCGTCTCGCTCCATTTCCTCGCTGGGTCACCGAGCATTGCTGTGAGTCTTTCCCTGGCGCTCTCTCCACTTTGGGAAGCCATGGGCTGGGTGCGTGGCAGCTTTTCCTCCGTGGGCGGTGAGGGAATGCCTGGCCTAAGAGAGCCGTCCCACAGGTGCAGGAGGCCAGCCCAGGGCTCAGGCTGGTGGCCGGCACAGTGGATCTGTGAGGTCCGGAGCTTGGCTAAGCCTGGAAGGGGACAGTTGTTGCTCAATGACAGTCACGATCAATGGGCCCAGCGTGCGCAATACAGGAAAAGCGCACCAGGCCAAGTGCCGCATCCTTCCCGCGGCATCCTGGGCAGCCGGTTCTTCTCTCCTGGCCTCCGCTCTTCCATCTGCAGAGTGGTGTTGAGAGGACGAGCACGTGGAAACGGACCTGGCCGGGGGGGCTCGCAGCCGACGCGGTTCAGTTCTGGCTTCCCACCACGTTTTTCCATTTAGACAACACGACAGCATCCACTGCGATGTTTGGCTTTTGAGGAAGACGGCGCCTTCCTGGCAAGGGTGGCCTCCACCTGCTGGTGCCTGGCCCCAGGGAGTGGTGGGACAGAGAGCTGGCTGCAGCGGGGAATGGGGGAAAGCAAGGCCCTGAGTGTCCCTCCCTCTCACTTTGTTATTTCTGTTCATGATGTCTCCACTGTCCTAACACCCAACCCCGAAACACCCCACCCACCCACCCTCCACTCACCCACCTACCCATGTAGTCACCCTGCCATCCTCTACTCACCCACCTACCCTCCACTCAACAATGACCTAGGTAGTCACCGAAAAACTTAATGGCAAAAAAAATCAGGTTTTCGCCCGCGATAAGGTAAGTTCTAACACAGACTTTCGAGAAGGAACTTCATTGTTGAACGAGGTCTGTATGGTTCTGGGGTAGCAGTTTTAGTAGGTGACGCCACCGATGGAATCTAGAGACGACGGCAGTTTCTTGTATGAAAATAATTTTCGTGCATATTGATTATGCAGATGGTGGCATGTACGCTGAGGACGAGAGAAACAGCAGGTATAGAGAGACTCGAAAGACACACATTGTCTTGCT